ATCGAGCGTTATCAGGCCTGAAACACAGAGTGCATCTGAAAACATGTAGCTGTACTTTCAGAAAGTGCAGTTGTTACTTAGAAGAAACTTAACTAAAAGAAAAAACTCCCAAAAGGAGAAACAGTCCGGTTTCAGTCAAACCAGTACACCCCACTTGCCCAGTAGCTGGTACTGGGATCTCCACTCATCGCAGTAGCTTACACTGAGCTCCTCATTCACCCCAGTAGCTGGAGCTGGTACTGGGATCCCCATTCACCCCAGTAGTTGGCACCCTTTCCAGTAGAGTGTTCAGGATCTCCTCCCCGACTTCCAACCCCATCTGTTGCAAAGTCCAAGTTGATCTTCCCCAGTGTGGAACCTCTAATTACTTGATGGTTCATCAGTTAAAGAGACCAGCGAGGTTTTTTTTCCTGTCACTGCCTCTCTTCGTGTTCTTCCATTTCCTTCTCATCCCAATTTTTCCAAGGCTCTCAGCGAGGTAATGCCAAGACGAACCATTCTCCACATATCCTTACAGGACTCAGCGTCTTCTTTCCCTCACCCTTCAGCATCAAGGTCTCCCCAGGTCTCTGTGATGGGTGATAGGGTAGAGTCAAGGATGGGAGGAGAGAACCTGGCCTGTAGAAGGCCCATGGCCACATAGGGCTTCATCTTGGGATGTTGAGCAAAGGGACTGAGGTCCTTGCAAGGATCCTCCCTATCAGCTTTGAAAGGTGACAGAGATTGGGAGAGGTCCTAGATGACCGGTGAAAGACAGGTGGTGTACCCATCATCCAACATGGTCAATATCGAGAAATTCATTCCAGTCAGCCTCACTTCCTCCAGTCTCTGATAGCTCTCACATAAGGAGACCTCTTGAAACCCATTTCTGGGCACATGAATGAGAAGATGGTTTGGAACAGACAGCATGGATTTACCGAGCATAAATCATGCCTCACCAACCTGATCACCATCTGTAATGAACTCTTGAGAGTTGTGGACGAGGCAAGAGCAACAGGAGTCATTTGCTTTGACTTTGGCAAGTCTTTCAAGTCTCCCATGATGCTTTTGTACCCAAGTAGGAACATTGCGGTTTGGGTGGGTAGAAAACTCATTGAATGATGGGGCTGAGAGGGTACCTGCTCAAACTACAGCTTTCCTCCCAGGTGTAGCTGCACGGAGTGAGCCATCACCCTTACATCGAGTCTACCACCAGCTTTGGGTCTCATTCTCAAGCAACCTAGCGCCAAGAAGCCCTAGTCCCAGCCCGTTGTGGGGTCGCTACTGGCCTCACACCATCCACAGGCTGGGCCTCGATCAGAAGGACTTGGACTCCGCCAAGAACAATGTCAGGTATGGGGGGATTCTATACGCCGCACCTTCCCTCTTCACTGAGAGACTCCTCCTGAGCTTCTTTTCCTCCGTTGACTCATCCAGTGGGTCACAACCTCCATCTGAGGTCGCAATGGGACTGGGGGAGGGCAGGAAGGTGGCATGCATCCACATCCACCTCCTTTAATTCTTCCAGGCCTGTTCTCTTGGCCATGGTCATGTCGGGTAGCATCAATGCCCTGAGGGCAATAGTAGAACTTCGTGGCCCTCACCCACCTCACCTGGAGACCTCCACTCCATGTACATGGTCCCCAGGAGCTCATTTAAGGTCAGGTCTGGACCTTCAACCTCTGTCTGTCCTTTGGTGAAGAAGTACCAGTTGGAAAGAAAGGAAGGTTGGTGAGAAAAAACTCATTGAGATGATATGGGGTCACCTGCCAAATCCCGCTGGACAATCGCATTTAACACGTCCTACTAGGAATATCTGTCACCTTCCTTTTGGTCATGATGCTGCAGATGACGTCAGGGTGAAAATGGGGCCAAGTGGGAACTTTACTGAAATCCTGGTTGGACTTGGCCATAAAATCAAGAGCTGCGATGAGGTCCTTCTTCTGGTCCCCCAGGCATTACTACAGCGTCCCTATTTTGGGAAAGAGCACTACCTGGTTGCAGCATTGTTTTACGAGATTTACTCAACTTTCGCAGACTTCAGACCTTCTTGTAACTTGGGCCTCCTCCATGACATCAGGAGAAAGGAGGTTCCTAATGATTTGCAGGTCCAATTTGAGGAGAAGTGGGGAAAAGTTCTGCAAAACATCTATCAGCAGAGAATCTCGCTAAATAGGAAGGGTATTTCCCCTTTCTGCAACGCCCTTCTTACTTCCACAGCAGCTCCCAGTGGACACAGAGTCTTTTATGGAGTCCTGTGTGAGATAGAAGCCAGCCTTTGGTCTCGGATGAGCTGACGCTTCCACCCAAGACGGTTTTCCTTGGTCACTCAGAATGAGATTTAAATGTAGGGCATAAAAGAAATCTGACTTATTTATCTGATGTTTGGCTCTGCCTTTTGACACCTCTTCACATCTGTCCACCCTCTCCCCCAAGATACCAGCCGTGAGGTGTCCAAACCGAATTTGGTCACCAACTGCCTCACTGAGACCCTTGAAACTTCATCAGAATGTCCGCAGTATTTCTTTGCCCTTTTCCCTAGCCAGAAAATTTAACCTTTCCTTTTAAATTCCTTAGCGTAGAGGAGAAGCTCGACCTCCCAGCCCAAAGAGAAAGAGCCCCATGACCACAAAGCCATGCAAAGGTACGTGAATAACATGGGAGGTCTGCCACCACATCAGACCCTGGAAGTGTCTCAAGGAGGTGTCCACCTCCTCCGGTTTCCCTGGCAAAGGAATTCATGCTCTGAATTCCAGACTCAATCATACACCTTAGGATCTGCTCATCACCATTGAAAGATCCGGGAGGTTTTCAGTGTGTCCATCAGGCGTTGCAGAAAAATTGCACTGAAGTAAACCAAATTTCAAAATTAGGATGAAATTTGCCTTGAGGGAGCGGGAAATCGGTCTTTAGGTGCATGTGGGCGTTGGTGTTTGAGAGGAAGGACAGCTCCAGAGACGGAGACCGCATCTCTGTACCTGCTCTTTCTCCGGTGGCCTTCCCAAGGGGAGAGGGGATGTCTGTCTGTCACCGTCCGCAACGCCCACCATTGCTCTCAGTGTGTCCCCCCCCCGCCTTGCAGCGACGTATGTGTTAGGAAGGGAGGAGGTGTGGTTCGTGGTCCTAAAATCCACTTAAAATAGAAAAATAAAAACAGTTGGTGCCTGTTCAGAGCTGGAGTGACCACTGCCCTGCTGTGGATTGCTCTACAGGCAGAAATGAACAGAAAGCTGTTTTAAAAACAAAACAAAACCCCAAACCAACCAACCTGTGCTTATGCCACAGTTATCTGTATGGATGTAAGGGATAAAATTTTCTAAGTCACCTTCCATCTGCTAGGAAGCCCGGAACAGCACTGGGACACTCATGACCTGCCCCATGAGGGGCCTCCAAGTCTCCATTTCTCAAGGGCTTCTCCAGGTGGCTCACCGCCTGCACCTATCATTTGTCTAAACAGGACCACAAATATGTGAAGCATTAAATCAAACAAATACTTTCATTGTAAACAATGTTTTTAAAGCGACTTTAATTGCTTTAGAGAAGTGGGACTATCAAAACAGCAGAGCAGTAAGTTGTCTTCATCCCCAAGTGGGTTTGAGCTTGCAATTTGTCAAAACAGGAACAAACCGAAACAGAATCGATCCAAGACCTTCTTGGATCAGCCCCAAAGTCATCAAAGGAAGAGGTAATATCATGATTAGGAGACCAGTCAACGTCCCTATGGCGGGGACATCAGTCTTCTGCACCAGGGCTCAGAATTCACCTGCTGCTCCTCGAGGAGTTGGCTCGCATCTCGACTGTGAGGGCACCGGAGCCGCCATCACTCTTGCTTCTGCGTGATACTGAGTCTGCAGCACTCAAAATTAAACCAAAATGCTCCAGCCGAGCAAGATCTGTCATCCCCAGGGAAGGTAAAAGATGTGAGAGCCACGGGAATGCCTCCTTTTCGTAGAAAAAGTACAGTTATTGTTTGGAAAGCAGCAAGAACCACCGAAGGAAAACAAGAAGAAAAATTAACGATAACCACTCCTGTAGCTGAAACTAGAGCCTGGCCAAAAATTTGCATTTCCAACAAGAAAGCTTTTCCTCAAGGATTTCCAAAAGGTATTTTTTTAAGTCTTTGCTCCGCAGACTAAAAATGCTGGGGCTGAGGAAGGGAGTGAAGACCATACAGGACACATCAACGAGAGCACTCGCTCCTGCAGCGCGGGGTGATTTGCCTTGCAGGTAGATAACGGAGGCACAGCCGTAATGCACCACGACTACGGCAAGGTGGGAGGCGCAGGTGGAGAAGGTTTTGTGCCTCCCCTCCGCTGAGGGCATCTGGAGGATGTGGCCAAGGATGAAGGCGTAGGAGAGAAGGATAAGCAGAAAGCAACCTGACGAGGCAGTCACGCAAAGGACATTTACTATGGCGCCAACCGTCTCGCCACCAGCACAAGCCAGTTAGAGAAGGGGGGGCCACGTGGCAGAAGAAATGGTCAATCTGGTGGGACTGGCAGAAGGGTAACTGGAAGACAGCGCAAGTCACCAGCAGCTCCAGGAGACCCCCACTCAACCATGAGGCAACCACCAGCTGGATACAGACACGGGAGGTCATGAGGGTGTTGTAACGCAAAGGGTGACAGACGGCCACGTACCAGTCGTAGCCCATCACCGGCAGGAGTAAAGAGTGCGTGAACCCAAATGTGAAGGAGAAATGTATTTGTGCGGCACAGCCCATGACAGAAATAGCTCGAGTTCCCAGCACTAATCCAGATGGCATCTTTGGGGTGGTGGAGAAGGTGTAACAGAGCTCGGAGAAGGAGAGGGCACCTAGGAAGAGATACACGAGCGTGTGCAGACCCCGATCCACCCTGATTATCACCAAATTTCCAGCCAGGGTCGTCACGTGCATGAGGAGAAAGAGCACAAGCAATGAAACCTGGAGCTTGGGGAAGTGGGAAAACCCGGTGAAAACGAACCCGCTCGGGGTGGTTTGGTTGTCCCTTTGCATTTGTGCTTTGTTGGAGAAGAGCACAACATTTTAACCAGCAGCTCGGCCTCCCGTGGAGGAAACCGCAGCTACATCAGACTTAAATTCTTGCTTTCTATCACTCTCCCACGAGAAATAATGTGGAAATCAATGTGCACGTCCAAGATCTACCAAACCTTTTCTTTGCCCAGGAATATCACACGTAACTCCAGAGTTTCTGTCCTGGCACAGCGGAGAAGTCATCAGTGATGTCGTTAACGTGCTGTTTTATATTAAACAGTCCTGGCCCACGCCGATGTGCGATGGCCAAGCCAAGAACCGCACAGAATCACTGAGGTTGGAAAAGACCCTTAAGATCGAGTCCAACTCTAAACCTAAGACTTCCAAGTCCACCACTAAACCCCTAAACGCCACGTCTACGTGTTTTTTAAATACCTCTGTGGTCATCTTTAGCCAAATCCCTGGTGTCTCCGTGATGGAAGGTCCCAGGATTTTGTAGGTAACGGAGTGACCCCCAATACATCTGTGAGGACCAACCGTAAGAGCAAGAGGAATTGCTTTACGTGAGCAGAAGACGAGCGTGGCAAGGCGTAGCCTGGCGTGACGACTGATTTGGGGATAATCCCAGGTGATTCCCGATTCTGTGTCGAGCACAAAGCATCTTTGCGTTCTCCACCGCTTGAAGGGTCACACTACGTTAGCTCGGGGGGCTGTGCTGGGTCCCCCCCTGTGCACAGAGTCACCGATTGCAACTGGAAAGAAGAAGAAAATAGAAGAGCAGGAAGGACATTAGGTCCTTGGCAGGGTCAGGGGACGCAGCAGCGAGAAGGTTGGGTTCATCACTGCCAGCTGCAGAACCTCCATCAGCTTCTCCATGTGCCCCCCGCTCAGGATCTGCACCCACCGTAGCGGCTCCTGGGGCTTTCTGGAGGGCGGGTAGACACCCTACATGTTCTGCACGAGGATGAACTTGGATCCTTCATTCCTTCAGCAGATCTGGGGAAGGGGTGGGACTACACCAGGGAAGAGTAGCACGGTCAGCAATCCCACCGGACTCCAGGAGAGTCAACCGAGCTACATCTGCAGGCGATGTCTCACCTAAGTCTGGTTGCCCACCATTTCTCTCCTTCTAGAGGAGAAAGGGCATTTCTGGCAGGGATATCTCCCATCGCGTCAGTCACTCACCTTCCAACAGGGTTCCTCACGCTCCAGAATCATCATCCAGCTTGAGGGCTGTCTCTAGGCATCGGGGATGTTGGAAACTAGAGGAGATGCAGTTTGATGTCATGGTCTTGGAACTTAGGAATTCCTTAATACCTTTCAAACTGGTTTTACCTGCTGCCGCTTTCAACCCACTGGCTTTCCCCAAACTTTCAACTCTGCCACCCACCTGATGGCAATGATGAGATGATGAGCACTTGCTCTTCCAGGAAGGACGGACACCCCAGGCAACAACTTGATCAACCCCGTGATGATCCCGTCTGCCTTCTCCCTTGGTGTCTGGCCATCAATGTGCCTTGTACAAGGGATCTTAAATAGTTTGTAGTCACGCGGGTGGGTTGAGCATCATCATCTGAACTTAGATGACGTCTGGTTCTTACGGAGGTCTCAGGTGGCAGCAGGAGCTGAAGATCTCATGCTCCCTTGGTGGAGGAGCATAGGGACGTATAGGAGCTCAGCCCAGCACCAGAGCTCAAGGAACCAGCCCACAGGGAGGTGGAGACATGGCTCCGGAGAAGAAGCATCCCATGTGAAGCCACACCAACGGGGATCCTGATTAAACATCTGCTTGGGGTCTGGAGGTGACGCTGTCACCCAAGGTGACAGCAGTCAGGATTGCCTTGGTTTTCTCCAAGATCTCAAGGGCTGAGAGCTTTCAGCTTGAAAAATCCATGGTTTGGAGCTGGCGGATGCGCTGG